ACATGATGGCAGTGAGTTTATGTTTGTTGTGGTTTGTTGTGGTTTGGTTTAGTTTAGCTGGGTTGGCTTGGGGTGGGTTAAGGATCCCTGGTGGCTCTGTTGGGTAGTGTTGAACTACTAACCATACCATCACTGGTTCAAACCCACCAGCCACTCCAAAGGAAAAAAGTTGGTATTACAGATTTGGAAGCTCTATAAAGGTTACTATGAGTCTGAATTGATTAAATGGCATTGAACTATTTTCATTTTATACTGTATGAAAAGGGACCTTTATGGCAGAAACCCAAAACCAAACACTACCATTAAGTCAATTCTGACTCATAGAGACCCTATAGCACATGGTAGAACTGCCTCGATGTGGTTTCCAAGCCTGTGGCACAGGAGGTTATGTGTTAGGCTGCTAATCACAAGGTCAATAGCTCCACAGGAGCAAGATGAGGCTTTCTACTCCAGTACAGAGTTGGTGTCATAGTGACTGTTTCAAGATGGGCAGTTCAAACCCATTAATTACTTCATGGCAGAACAATGAGGGATGATGCTTTTGGCTCATGTAAAAATGTCTCAGAAATGGTGTGTTAGGCAGGGTTCTCTAGAGAAACAAAACCAGGACACTTATGATTTTATATATAAAAGGACAGGTTTATACAGTGAGAAGAAATATAACAGCTAACTAGTCCACACAGCACTACAGAAGGCTCAGTTCAACTCATTGTCTAGAAACAGTTAATATACTGAAGGTCCTTCAATTCATGTGGGCTGCTGGTCCAAGGTTAAGGAAGCAGACAGCAGAGTCTCTCCTCAGGCAAGACAGGAAGAGTCGGCCTGTAGGCAGCAGACAGAGGTGGGATGGCAAGTCAATATCGAGGAAGCTGAGTGAGGCAGGCCCCTATGGGGTCTTGAACTCCAGAGATGTACTCATGACTACATGATCCACCAGCAGAGTGGAGAAGAAGCAGGTCTCGAAGGAACCTCAATCTCTAGCAACGCACACAGCAAGGCGACACAATCCACGGGTTGGCTCAGCCCACAAGTGGTGCAGTACACAGTTGAGGCAAAGAAATAGCTTAAGGAGCAGCATGCTGGTCCATCACCAGGAAGAAAGAGAGACAGGATGCTGGCCTCTGAAAGCATTTATCTCAGTTGACCTTCAATCAAGCTGTGACCTGATTATAAACTCTTCCTTTATGTTCCTATGGAGGCCTAGTTGGCACAATTAACCTAGCTAACACAGTCCACCCCTTGCCAACTAGACACTAGTACATAATGCTTTAGCCGTATATAATTTCCAGACATTAATGAAATTATGCTTTCACCAGACATTATGAAATTATACTAGCATACTTATAAATGAAAGGATATTGAACTTTTTGTATCTACTATATTATATATGAACAAAGGAAAGATATTCAATAAGCACATATAAAGAAGAAATACAATCACAAACCTCACTTTTGCAATTGATCACATGGTCATAACTGATAGGTAGAACTACCTTCCTCCACTACCCATTCTGTATTTCCTTTGCTATTGGCCAGCACCTTAGCTGGCCATGGTTCTTAGTCTGGTGGGGTGACCCAGACCTTTATTCATGAGGAGTTTGGGTCATTAGATGTCCTGTCAGGATTGGGTTGCTGTAGTTTACCATTTACTTTAATCACAGGGCATGGTAGTACTAAGAGCCAGTCTACAGGATCTCCTAGATTTTAGACATATTCGTTGTTACCTCCATTGTATAGCACCAGTCCAATTTATCCTTGGTAAACAGGATCAATCACATACTCAGTAGAGTAACACCCTTACTGACCTTTGGTCCAAAGGCATGAGGAGCCCAAAGTGGCCAGTTCAGTGGAATCAGTGTTATGTTTCCAGGTGGGAGTGTTCCTTCCTTAAAAACTGGACCTCCAGACCTGAAGGCATAGTGTTGCTGGGAAAGGAAGCAATTGGATCACTCAGAATTATAGTCAATGGTGCCACTCTGGCCTTAACCCTTTGGTTCCTGGACCTATGAATCCTAGCTATAGGAGACACGGCATCATACATTGGCCACGACTTAGAACATATAAGAAGCAATCCTAGTCTACCCTACAGGGTACTTATGAGTCAGAGTTGACCAAAGAGCAGTGGGTTTTGGGTTATACTGCACTGACTCTAACTTACTAGGAAGTCATGGACCTGCTAAACTCATGATTCCTCATGAGCTGACTGAGGATCTTCTCCTGATGGCGAATACAGCTGTCACTCCATCCTCTTCCTCCAAACTTTGGCAATATAACTTTTCCAGTCAGTTTATCAGTTGGATGGCTAGAGGGAATTTTTCAGAAACTATTTGCAAATCTATAGCCAAAGTAGCCAATGCCCTAAGTATAGGCTTTTGCTGTTTAAGAGTTTCCCATATAGATAGCCAGGATCAAACATTGCTCTTGAGGGACTCCAAGTCCCAAAGTAGCCCATACAAACTAAAGAAGCTGTAAGAGAAATATGTCTATCTTTTCCACTTTTCTAACTTCCTCGCCAACTATAATCTCTCCTTCCTCCAATGTCAGCTAGACCTGTGCATAGCCCGCTAGAGCTAAGTGGTTATTGTTGATAGTTGCCACT